GCATATGAACACTCTTAAAAGAGTTCATGCCTGCATAATAATCCACCCTGTAACAGTTCTAATTTATTTAACATTTCCTCTGTTGTATCAAGTCTTTGTTGAACTTTGTGCTATTATCATTTTTAACATCTTTGTGTGGAAAGCTTTCTCTTATTCAGGATTATTTCCTTGGAAAAAATTCTAAGAATGAGAAAACCTGAGGAGAAGCTCTGAACATTTTTGGGCTCTTTGTACCCATCACCAAACTGCTTACGAGGCTATGCCGATAAACACTCTGCTCACATGAGTGTGCCTGGAAGCGTCTGCTTCACAATCACTGAACACAGTCAATGGCCACATAAAAGCCCCTACTGATTCTGTACTGAACTGTCTTAGCTTTGATCACGTTAACTTAGATTTCTCTGATGACTAATAAAGCAAGACTGTTTTGTGTGACTCCCAAATGAATAGTAATTTGTATCTGCTCTTTCGTGATTTGTTCATGAGGCTTCTGACCCCAGGTCTAAAAACTATGAGGGCGACTCTACTCAGTTTTCACCTTGTTTCAGTTGAGCGCTTCCGACCAACCCTTCACGCCTGGCTGTTGGAGCCTTCCAGGCCCCATGGGCAGGAGTGGCTGGCTAGAGGCAGCTGTGGGCCCTTGGGGCTCCCTGCTCACCTTCCTGATCTGCTCGAGCTTGTCGTCGTCCTCGAGGAAGAAGGTCAGGTACATGAAAGACACGTCCACATCACAGTTGCCCCCAAACTGCCTGTGCTCCTCGATGGTGTCTCTCCCTCCAGAAAACGCATGCTTATTGACCTGCACCAGCAGAGGACACAAACATGCTCGTCAGTCCTGCTCATCCTGTGCCTGGACGCTGGCGAGAAGCCCAAGTGCGGAAGTCAAAGGTGTGAGTGCTGTCAGATTCTGGACCAGAGAAAGGTCAAGGCGCAGAGCTGGTGGGGGACCCACTGCTATTCTTCCTGTGAGGCTTGGGTGTGAGCTGCCATGGGGCTCACTGCAGGAGAGGTGGGGGCAGATGAGCTCTGAACTCCCTCATCCTCAGAGACACAGGAGAATAGAGTTGGGAAAGCAAAGGCACTGATTGAACTGAAACCTGGGGGAGACAAGTGCCTCAGGTGACAAACTTCAGAGAAAGGATGGGTAAGGCTGGACATAGTGGCTTGTGCCAGTAATCTCAGCATTTTGGGAGGTTGAGGGGGGAGGATCAATTGAGGCCAGGAGGTCAATACCAGTCAGCTAACTTAGTGAGCCCCCGTCTCTGGAGAAAAAAAAAAAAAAAAAAGGGAATTAGCTGGTGTGCTGACGTGCGCTTGTAGCCCTAGCTACTCGGGAGGCTGAGGTGGAAGGATCGCTCAAACTCAGGAGTTTGAGGTTATAGTGGACTGTGATTGCACCACTGCACTCCAGCCTGGGCGACAGAGCAAGACCTTGTTTCTAAAATAATAAAAACTAAAAAAATAAATAAATACAAAAAGATGAGTAAGTCATCCTCAGAGTAAGGGAGATGGCAGGAAGGGCAGCCTCTCTTAGGGATAGGTACTGCAGTGTTAACAGGGACAGGAAAGCAGCGGCCAGCCTCCCACAGAAAGCAGAACAAGAAGGCACGGGCAGGGTAGGGCAGTAAGGGAAAGCAAACCCACGGGAACTGTGCGGGTAGAAGGGCCTGCAGGCAGGTCTCCACTTACAAACAGGCAACGCTGTCAGAGCTGAAAAACTCAGAAACGCAATGCCTTTTAGGAATTGTTGAAGATAATCACAGAGTAATTAGGGCTACTAAAAGCCAGAAAAAATAGGCAAAACTCCTTCAACATTCTTTCAGTGAGCATCTGAGAAACCTCCAATGCACAAATGTCACCCTAATTTTTTTGTTTTAGATAGGATCTCTAGACTGTTGCCCAGGCTGGAGTGCAGTGGTGTGATCACGGCTCACTGCAGCCTTGACCTCATGGTCTCAGGTTACTTTTCTGCCTCAGCCTCTTGAGTAGCTAGGAGTACAGGTGTGTGCCACCAGCCTGGCTAATTTTTTGGTATTTTTTGTAGAGGCTGGGTTTTGTCGTGTAGCCCAGTCTGGTCTTGAACTCCTGGGCTCAAGTGATCTGCCTGCCTTGGCATCCTGAAGTGCTGGGATTACTGTGCCACGAGTCACTGTGCTCGGCCCCTTAACTTTTTTTTGCCACCATGCCCGGCTAATTTTGCATTTTTAGTAGAGACAGGGTTTCACCATGTTGGCCAGGCTGGTCTCAAACTCCTGACCCCAGGTGATTCACCTGCGTGGCCTCCCAAAGTGCTGGGATTACATGAGCGAGCCACTGTGCCCAGCCTTAACATTTTTTTACGGGGAAAAGGGTAGGCAGAGTCAATAAATTCTAAGTTGTTATGTTTAGTAAGTCTCCTGAAAAGAATTCCAGAGCAGCCGGGTGCAGTGGCTCACACCTATAATCCCAGCACTTTGGGAGGCCGAGGCAAGCGGATCACCTGAGGTAGGGAGTTTGAGACCAGCCTAACCAATGTGAAGAAACCCCGTCTCTACTAAAAATACAAAATTAGCTGGGCGTGGTGGCGCATGCCTGTAATCCCAGCTATTTAGGAGGCTGAGGTAGGAGAATCACTTGAACACGGGAGGCAGAGGTTGTGGTTAGCCGCGATCGTGCCATTGCACTCCAGCCTGGGCAACAAGAGCAAAACTCCATCACACACACACACAACACACACACACATTCTAGAGCAGATTCCTAACTAGATAAGTTGGGATTGTGCAAAAGGAGCAGACGAGTGTTGGGGCAAAGGTGCCAGTCTCCATTGTGGCAGGGCACTGCTGAGAGGCTGGGCAGGGAAAGCAGTAGTCACGCGAGAGGCTCAGGCAAGGCCCATGCAAGGGGCTGGCGCTGTGCGGCTGGCTGGTGGGCAGGCCTGCGGGGCTGAAAGAAAAAAGCTAATGAATGGGACGTTTACCTTCCCTTTCCTTAAAAAAAAAAAAAAAAAGAAAAAAGAAAAAAGAAAAAAAAGTTATAGAACCAAAAACTATGGAAAATACTAATAAACAGGAGGAAGAAAGTGCCTGACGGAGTCAGTGCTGTGTGGTGGCCACAGCCCTCCCTGCTGGGCCTTGGAGAAGAAGCTCCAGTGTCAGGAAGAAAGTCTGAGAACACAGGTCCTGGGTTCCTGGGGCAGTTTGAAGAGGGTATTGAAAGGCCAGTTCCCAGCCCTTTATCTGAGAGAACAAGGAAACTGGTGTCTGCTGCACGTTTTTCACGATGCGCTGGCGGCACCACCACCTGCACACTCCCCCTTCCCAGGCGAAGCCCCTTGTTCCATGGTAGGCACACAGCAGATGTGCCATCCATGTTGGCTGTTAGGGTTGTGACATGTATTTTATCCCCAACAACCCAATGACCTCTGTAGTGCTTTTGCCATCTTACAGGTGAAGGAAATCAGGCCCAGAGTGTCAGGAACCTGCCATATGTGACAGGGATTGGCAGGACCAGGCTGGCTCCTGGGACACCAGGCTTCCAGGTGGAGCTCGAGAACTGAGTGGCTCAGTTCTGCCTCCTTGATGTGACCAGTCCTTAGTGATGCAGGAAGCAGCCTACCAGGCCTGACTTACAGGAAAACAGATGGAGGGACGACTTGGGGGTGGGTATGCAGCACTGCTGCCAGCAACTAAGATGGTGGAAGCGGGTGACCAGTGCGACTCTGTGCGACAGGAAATGATATTGAGTGGACACGGCCAGCTAGGGTGGTAGTTGGGATGCAGTTAGATCACACAGGCTGACTCTGTGCAGGTGGCAGGTACTCACTCAGCAAAGCCACTTGAATCATCAGCACTGTGCTACTATTTTATTTTTTTTAGTTTTAGAGATGGGGCCTCGCTGTGCCACCCCAGTTGGGGTGCAGTGGCTATTCACTGGCACAACAGTAGCTCACTGCAGCCTTGAATCCCTGGGCTCAAGCCCTCCTCCTGAGTAGCTGGGACTACAGGCACGTGCCACTAACCTGCCTGAACCTGTTATTTTTAGGAGGAGGCCGGAGCAGATGTGCCCTCTTCTCTGGTGTGGAGATTCTGATTTTGGAGCCAAAGTCAAGCATGGGGGTTTAGAGTGAGGGCCTGGCCGGACCCTGTTCTGCCCCACAAGAAGCCTGCAGGCCCAGTGACCGTCTGTAGGCCTCTGTGTTTCCTGACCTCATGCTAACTGCTCACCTCGAGGGCTCTGCTGGTCCCTAAGTGAATGATAAATGTCCCAGATCCATAAACAAGTTTTTCTCCTTTTTGTTTTTTGAGCCGGAGTCTCGCTCTGTTGCCCAGGCTGGAGTACAGTGGTGCGATCTCGGCTCACTGCAACCTGAGTCTCCCAAGGTCAAGCAATTCTCCTGCCTCAGCCTCCCGAGTAGCTGGGGTTACAGGTGCCTGCCAAATTTTTGTATTTTTAGTAGAGACAGCGGTTTCACCATGTTGGCCAGGCTGGTCTCAAACTCCTGACCTCAGGTAATCCCCCTTGCCTCGGCCTCCCAAAGTGCTGGAATTATAGGTGAGAGTCACTGCACCTGGCCATAAACAACTTTTTCAAAACAACTTCTCAGAAGCAAAATCAAACAGCAGACTTTTCCAGTGGCACTTCCCTGCCCATTCTGCACCCTGTGCTCCGGAAGTTTTGGCTAGAAGTGAAAGGGAAAGAAAAGTCTCCAATCATACCAGCTTCCAACTGAGTGAGGAGAATTGGTGGAGGCCATGTCTTAGGAAGTTTTGATATGAAAGACTTCTCCATTGTCAACCAGAACCTGCCTGGGACTTTCCAGAGGGTCAGGGGCAGTGACTCAGAGGGCATGCGACACGCCTCAAATACAGTTCCCAGCATTTCCACTGCAATCTTCAAGCCTGCAAACACACACTTGATTCCAAAGAAAATGTCAACTGCTATGTGTAACAGTGAGGCAATTAAATATACACTGGCAGTTGAGGAACCAGGCAACAGAACTGGGGCCATGCAAAATAAGGAAGCTCAAACTAACTTCTCCTTTTAGTTTCTCTAGTGATTTGTCAAATGTTTGCTGAATGCCTGCTGCGTGCATCCCTCCTGGGGCCAGCAGGACTGTCCCGTGGAGGGACTTTTCTCAGTTCTGTGTCTCTCAGTGAGAACACTCTCTGGGATAAAACCAGCTCCTAACCCCTGCTTGGCTGCTCATGGTCAGGAGAGCAGTGCTGCTGATTCCTGGTGATGGACACTTGGTCAAGTGGCTGGGCTTCTCTAAGCCTCATCAACTCATCTTTAAAGGGAATAGCACCACCACCTCCCAGTGAGAATGAAACATGAGAAAACATAAATAAGGCACCGGGTCCAGCCTCTGGAACACAGCTGATGATCAGAAATATACACAAATCTTTTCCATTGTTTAATAACATCCACAGTAATTATAACTTTAAGGAAACTGCCACGACTTTGCTTCCAGAACAGTGCTGGTAAGAAAAGCAGAAAAGGGAAAAAAAAAAATTCAAAATTTTACCTAAATGAAAGGACACAAAACAAATTCACCTGATTCATGTGGGAAGGACAGGATGCATTGAGTTCTGCAGGGAGCACAGTTGGCAATCCTGGAGTTCAGCATTGCTACGGTGGCTGAGGCCCAAAGCACTGTGCAGTGGTGTGTGTGTGCGTGTGCCCCCAGGGCATGTTTCTACTCCCACTGATTGCCCTCTGCCCGGGCCACTGCTCACCTTGGTTTTGATCTGCTTTGCCGTGTCAGTGAGGAAGATGGAGGAGTTGGGGTCGCTGGCACTCATTTTGGTCTGGGCGCCCTGCAGGGCAGGGAAGAAGGTGGAGTGCAGCAGGGCTGGTTTAGGATAGCCGATCCTGGGGGCGACGTCTCTCGTCATTCTAAAGTAAGGATCCTGTGGGGGAGAGTAAGGACCTTGATGAGGGCGGTTGGAAAACATGCCAGCTTTCAGCTGTGAGCTGTCCCTGTGAGCATCTTCACAGAAGGCCCTCATGCTTCCAACTAAAGAAATTCACTCCCTCCTCCCCTTCATATCTTTTCCTTTTTTTATTTTGCTTTCAGTTCTGGGATACATGTATAGAACACACAGGTTTGTTACATAGGTATACATGTGCCATGGTGGTTTGCTGCACCCATCAACCCATCATCTAGGTTTTAAGCCCCGCGTGCATTAGGTATTTGTCCTAATGCTCTCCCTTCTCTTGCCCCCCACCCCCCAACTTTCTTTCCTTTTTCTTGAGACAGAGTCTTGCTCTGTTGCCCAGGCTGGAGTGCAGTGATGCGCTCTCACTGCAACCTCTGTCTCTGGGGTTCCAGTGAGGTGAGCAGCTGGGATTACATGTGCCTGCCACCACACCTGGCTAAATTATAGATTTTTGGTAGAGATGAGGTTTTGCCATGTTGGCCAGGCTGGTCTTGAACTCCTGGCCTCAAGTGATCCGCCTGCCTTGGCCTCCCAAAGTGCTGGTATTACAGGCGTGAGCTACCCTGCCCGGCTGCCCGTCATATCTTTCAACACTTCTCCCCCGCTGAAGAGTAAGAGGAACCTGCTGTCAATGCCCCAGACTCAGAGAGCCTTGGTTCTGCCTGCTGACCTGGTCAATGGCACATGGGATAAGGCACTGGATATCTGTCCTGTCTTGGAAGATCTGTGGGAATGAGTTGCTGAAGGAGGGAGCAGCCTGGATGGCAGGAAAACTGATCTTCCCTGAAAGTGAGAAAGAAATATTTTCACACGTGAGATGAGTTCCTGTTCTGCTTAGTTAATAAAGGAATGAACAAAAACAGGTTTTCTCCCCATTATAAAATAATCATTAAAGAAAACCTAAAAAATACGGAAAAGTAGAAAAAAGAATAAACTGTATAGCTGCAATGTGTCTCATTTCATCCATTTTGTTTATATATTTTACTCTATGCATTTTCATTGTGACTACATTATATTTGGTCTTTCCTTGGCTTTTTCTTTTTCTTTTCTTTTTTTTTTTTTCAGGAGTCTTGCTTTGTTGCCAGGTTGGAGTGCAGTGGCTCGATCTTGGCTCACTGTTACCTCCGCCTCCTGGGTTCAAGCGATTCTCCTGCCTCAGCCTCCCGAGTAGCTGGGACTACAGGCGTCCGCCACATCGCCCGGCTAGTTTTTTTTTGTTATTTTCAGTAGAGACGGGGTTTCACCATGTTGGCCAGCATGGTCTCGATCTTCTGACCTCGTCAAATGCCTGCCTTGGCCTCCCAAAGTGCTGGGATTACAGGAGTGAGCCACTGCACCCGGCCTTCCTTGCCTTTTTCGTTGTAATGACTATCCATGTTGTTACTAAGTATATTCTATCCTGTCAATGTAACATACTATTTAACCACTCTCTAACCACTGGGCATTCAGGTTGTTCCACCTTTAATTATCACAAGTTACGATGAATGTATTTGCTATTTAAAAGTTTTAGTGTTTTGGATGTTGTGGCTGTTATTACTGTCATCAGTATTTGCTTAGGCCTGCAGAAGAACTTTTGACCTCTCCGGGGCCCCTGACAGGTGATGCCACGCCAGCCCCCACTGAGTGGCGGTACCCAGGCCCTTGGGTGAGCTCAGATGTTTCTGGACTCTGGGCACGCGGCTGGCCCAGCGTGACCCTGATGCTGTGGAGCACACACCACTGTGGCTCTGGCTCCAAGCAGGGCGAATGCTCCCCAGGGAGAGCCCCAGCAGCACATCCTAAGGAGCTGTCTTGGCTGGCAGCTGACTGAAGGCCTCAGAGGCCTGCTAGGACTGAAGCCATGTGGCAAACGTCAAGTAGAGGAGGGGATCAGAAGGCCCAGCCACAACTCTCAAGGACCAAAAGTCTAAAAGTCTACAAGGCCAATGCATCTGAAAGACACGTGGAAATTTACGGAGAGGGCCAAGAAGGCATGCACGTGGGAGGCAAACCATCTGCATATCTGCTGGGGTGGAGCCATGGAAGGAGAGCAGGGCAGGGATGGGAAGGCTCCAGAAGACCTCGAGTCAAGCCCCTCATCTTACATGTGGGGACACTGAGGCCCAGGGAGACAAAGACTCAAAGGCTCCCTCATGGGCAGCAGATCCAGCTGTCCTTCTCCATCACCCTTGGTTCCACCCAAGTTCTACACTGACTGGGGTCCCACCAGCTGTTGGAACTCCAAAATCATCCTTAGATTTTTCTTTCTTCTAAACCTTAAGACGGGTGACAGGAGAGGGACAGACTTACATCCTGAAGTGCAGCTTCACCCAACCCAGAGAAGCTGCTCAATGCATTACACTAGCTAGTCAGATTCCAGGACGATGACGACCCGCCCAGGCCTGGGTGTCCTACTTAAAGAGACAGTTGCAAAAGCTAACATCTCAGAGATATTTAAACCAGACATGTGTCTCCTCCAGAACTCTGCTCCGTTTTGAAAGGCGCAGGCAGCAGTGGGCCCCTTACCGATGCTGTCGCTGTCAGTGAAGCCGAAAATGCCTTTCACTTGGTTGAAGGTAACATGCTTTTGAATCTTCACCACATTTTTGTAGAAACCTGAGCTCATCCTGCAAAGACAATGGGAATGAAATCCCAAACTGGAGGGCGGCCTTCACTGAAGGCAAAGTCACAGTTGTTAAAATTGGATGCCAAGGAGTAGTGGCATGGGCCAGACTTGGGGCCACATTGTGGTCAACACATAAGCACCAGGAAGGTGCCAGGAAGTCATCTGTAGGCAAAGATACCTGCATCAGGCAAAGTAGACACACGTTTACCTGTGGAGTTGACTGGGAAAGGCAGAAACCAGTGTGAAACCAACGTGAAGCAGACACACAAACAAGGCAAGAACACAAGCAGATTCAGAGACTCGCAGCTAGCATGAAAAATTTAAATTCTGCCAGGGTCAGCAGTTCAGTGGGCTGTGGAGCTCAAGTCTGGGAGCCCCCGGGAGCTTCTTAGTTGAGACATACTGTGTTGCAGGAGACTATCTGCTTGTTGTCAGATGAGCATATGGATAGAAATCCATGGCCCGAGAAGGAGGAAGGCCTGTCTCAGTGCAGCTGGTCCTCCTAGCCTCTGGCCACTGCACCCCACTGCTGTTTGGGCAGAACTGACCCTATCCCCAGCAACAGGGCTAGGCCACAGTGGCTGATTCAAGCAACCCAACTCTCTCTTCTGGATGGTGAGGCGTGTGGGTACCAGGCCTGGATCTGTGGCAGCCATTCTGATACCAGAGGGAACTAGGCTGAAGACGAAGCAAACACAGTGGGGTGTACGGGTCTGGCAGAACCCAGAGTGGCTTCATTTTTTTTGTTTTGAGATGGAGTCTCACTCTGTAGTCCAGGCTGGACTGCAGTGGCACGATCTTGGCTCACTGCAACCTCCACCTCTTGGGTTCAAGTGATTCTCCTGCCTCATCCTCCTGAGTAGTTGGGATTACAGCTGCTTGCCACCACGCCTGGCTAATTTTTGTATTTTTAGTAGAGATGGGATTTTAACATGTTGTCCAGGCTGGTCTCAAACTCCTGACCTCAGGTGATCCGCCTGCCTTGGCCTCCCAAAGTGCTAGGATTACAGGCGTGAGCCACTGCACCGGGCCAAGTGGCTTCTTATATTGCATCTTTGCATTACTATATTCAGTAGCTTTTCCTTTAGGCCCTACCATGTGTCAGACACTACGAGGGAAAAGGGGGAAGGCTGGTGTCTTTTAAGTATTTGCACCATGTGGCAGGAACTGTGTTAGGTACTGCATACGTGTCAACACTGCCAAAATCCCCTTCAAAGTAGTAGCATTGCCTCCACCTTACAGTTAAAGACTAGGCTCAAAGAAGTTCACGGTCATAGTCACAGGCCAGTGAGTACAGGCGCTGGGATCCCCACACAGATTCACCTGGCCCCAAAGTCTATGCTTTTCCCACCACCTCTTATCCTGTAGAAGAGTTTAGACCTTTGGGATAGGGAGGAGAACTACTGAATGTCTTTGTGCAGGTGGGGTGGGGTGTCAGGAGTGCAGGGACACTGGCCATTTGGGCTGGGTGAAGCATAATGCTGGGAGGCCTGTAACGGTCAAGGTCAGCGCCAAGGTCTGTCCAGGTTCAGCAGAGGCAGCATGGGAGGGATGGCCTGTGTCTTTCGCCTAGCAGCTGGCTGAGTTTCAGGCCCTGTGGGGCACTGGAAAGGGCAGGTGCAGTACCATGAAGGGGCATGCCAGGAGAACCCAGCATCTGTGTCACCCACTCAGCATAATGGAAACAACAGAGAGCAAGAGCACAGCCAACAACGACACCGCCTGGGAAGATGCGGCCTTTGTCTTCCCGCCAAGCAAGCCAGGAACACCGCGGGCAGGGAGGGTCCCGCCTAGGCACCGCAGCAGGCCTCACAGCCATTAAGGACAGCAGCTGTCTGTCACCTGGGGAGATGGGCTGCAGCAAAGACTCCATGTGCTATTGGGATTGAGGCACCTGGGACACCCTAACCCCTACAAGGAGGGAAAGTCTCCAGTACTCCCAAACTGTGGCAGGACTGTAGCTCCACGGTGTGTGACTGTTATTTCTGAGTTAGAGCATGCTGCCCTTTCTTAGAAGACTGGTCATTACTTGCTGCAAGCTGCTGCCACTGTGCTGGCTGCAGGGTGAATGCGGGCACTGCACCGTGAACATGCGTGATCCTCCCCTCAAGGGACGGCTGTCCCATGGCACAGCTGGGATGGACCCACCACGCAACAGCAGCCATGCCAGTGCCGGCACATGGAGGCTTCTCACTGGCTTCAGTGAACACACATAACTGTACACCACATGTGGATGAATGACCAGTTACTCCAGGGAGGGCACCTGCCTTTCACTCTCAGACAGGGTTTAAAGTGCGAAGAGATTTTAGATTACAACATTTACTGAGCGCTCCCCAGGTGCCAGGCGTGGCTTGAAGCGCTTTATATGCAGTGCAGGCACTATTATCTCCTGACCATGGTCTTCTCTAACCCTGCTCTTTGTCCCTATTATCACCGTAGAACTCATTATCACCTCATTGATCACCTGTTAGCTGATTCTCCCCATTAGAAGAGAGGCTCCACACAGCTGCTGAGATAATGGTTTTGCTCCCGGCTGTACCCACAGCATAAGTCTGGCATACAGTAGATGTCCAATAAATATTTGTAGAACAAATGAGCGGAGTGGAGAAAGCAGGCAGAGAGGAGCTCCTCCCATGCCCAGGCCACACAGTGGACGGCCGTCAAGCAGAGCACTTGCAACCTCTGCTATGCCGTCCTCCACTAGCACCCAGCTCCCTTCCTCACAGGAAAATGGAAGCTCAGAGATTTAAGGACTTGCCCAAGGGAACAAGACCAGGCAGGGGCAGAGCTGCGTCTGGAACACAAGTTTTCAGACTCCCAGCTCAGTGCCTGTGCATCCCTCAGGGCCCTGGGCGGGAAGGCCTTTCTGGGACCACATGCAATGTGCAGGGGGAACTGCACTGGCTTCCTCCCTCATGGAGGCCTTCCCACCTCCCCCCAACTCGAAGAGGGCGATGGCTGGCTTTGTTGAATTTCCAGCTCCCAAACGCCAGGAAGGAGCTTTATTAAGCCAAAGATACAGATTTTGAGTTAAATTCGAGAAAGAAAAGTAAAATGCTCAAGTGTTTACAAGAAACTCTTACAGTAAAATGTTTGAATAGAGGATTTACCCTTTAAAATGTCTCTCCTCACTTTAGGTTCAACATAAAATGCCTTTCAAGAAAAGATATCATAGACCCTTTTGGTTGACGTACTGTCTGGGTTTCATCTTTACTCCATGTTTGTAAAGCACAAGGAAGTTCCTGGCCAGGTGCAGTGGCTCATGCCTGTAATCCCAGCACTTTGGGTGGTCGAGGCAGGTGGATCACTTGAGGTTAGGAGTTCGAGACCAGCCTGGCCAAAATGGTGAAACTCTGTTTCTACTACAAATACAAAAATTAGCTGGGTGTGGTGGTGGGTGCCTGTAATCCCAGCTACTCAGGAGGCTGAGGCACAAGAATTGCTTGAACCCAGAAGGCAGAGATTGCAGTAAGCCGAGATCGCGCCACTGCACTCCAGTTTGGGCGACAGAGCAAGACTCCATCTCCAAAAAGGAAAACAAAACAAAACAAAACAAAACAAACCAAAAAAAGAGAAGTTCTTACTTAGTGAAGGTGGAGGCTGATCAGGAGCTGCAACCGCAGTTGCCAAAGAGACAGCACGGGGAACAGCGGCCTCACTCCATATTCAGAGAGCGCTGACAGTGGGGTTGCTCAGGTGGTGGTATTTTCACGTGAACTGTTTCAAAGTTCATCTACCTCATCGCACATCTACTGCCTGAATCAGCTTCATGGACTATTACGGGCAATTGCTCCTGTCTTGCCACCAGCATTTATATCCATCGAGGAAGGGGCTCAGCTTTGCTTCTGCTGTGTCTGTGGGGCCCAGGAGGGGATGGGCCACAGACAGCAAATTCAGGAACTGTGTGTCTTACTCAGCTAGCCGGGAGAGGGCCACGCTGTACCAGATGTGGCAGAGGTAAGGCCCAGCGTGATGGAGGACCAGAGAGGGGCATCTAAATTTGGCTGTGGGGAGAGAAAGCTCCTAGGAAAAGGTGATGCTTGATCATGCCTTTGGAAGAAAGTGTTAAGAATTGGCTGGGGCCGGGCGGGGTGGCTCAAGCCTGTAATCCCAGCACTTTGGGAGGCCGATGTTGTGCGGATCACGAGGTCAGGAATCGAGACCATCCTGGCTAACACGTGAACCTTTCGTTTCTACTAAAAATACAAAAAACTAGCCAGGCGGAGGGTGTGGGGCGCCTGTAGTCCAGCTTACTCGGGGAGGCTGAGGCAGGAGAATGCGTGAACCCGTGAGGCAGAGCTTGCAGTGAGTTGAAATTCCGGCCACTGCACTCAGCCTAGGCGACAGAGCGAGACTCCATGTCAACAACACAACAAAAAAGAATTGGCTGGACACGGGTGGTTCACACTGTAATCCTAGCACTTTGGGAGGGGCCGAGCGGACAGATCACAAGGTCAGGAAATCAAGGACCATATCCTGGGCTAACATGGTGAAACCCCGTCTCTACTAAAAACAATAAAAAAATACAAAAAATTAGCTGGGTGTGGTGGCGCGTGCCTGTGTGTCCCAGCTACTCGGGAGGCTGAGCAGGAGAATGGCGTGAACCAGGAGCGGAGCTTGCAGTGAGCCGAGATCCCGCCACTGCACTCCCGCCTGGGGACGGAGCGAGACTCCATCTCAAAAAAAAAAAAAAAAAAAAAAAAAAAAAAAGAAAGTAGTAAGGAATTAGCTAAGCTTGGGGTGGCAGGGTCAGGAGAGTGGGTGGAAATTCTGGGCAGCACAGAGCACGTACCAAAGGATAGGGATGTGGAACTGCAAGCTGTTCCACTGAGCTGGAGGTAGCAGTGACGCTGGAGAGGAACACAGGGCCAATCACGAAAGGGCTCGTGTGCTAAGCGAAAGGTGAGAATTCTCACTGTCATCTAAGGAGGAGAACCGGGAAAGACCCGCAAGTGGAAGATGAGATTAGCTCCGAGTTTTAGGGAGATCAGTGGCTGGTGGGGGCAGCGGTGGTGTGGGAAGAGGATAGCAGCTACTGGGCAATGCCAGCAGCATTGCCTGATTGGAAAGGGAGAAGCAGAACTCAAGGTTGTCTCTGCCGAGGTTCAATCAGTTGAATCATTGTATGGAATGGGGTGAGAATAAGGAAATAAAGTGACATGAAAATTATACTAATACGGCTGGGCACAGTGGCTCACACCTGTAATCCCAGCACTTTGGGAGGCCGAGGCTGGGGGATCACTTGAGGTCAGGAATTCGA